GTTCTGATTCTATGGGTCTGAGAAGGGGTCCTGAATTGTGCATATCTTAACACCCCTTATCACACTTGCTGGTCTGTGGGTTCATAATACTTAGGGGCAAGGCTTTCTTGAAGCCCATTAAAGTTCTTAAAGCCATGACACAAATTCCATATTTTGTACCTTTGTATAAGTAATAACACTCCCCATCTAGAATTCAAGTCAACAAAATGTGGTAGAAATTGCTTATGTTAAAGTTTGGGGTGTGATTCTAGACCCTCCATTTAGAATTCTGAGCCTACATTGTCTTTTTTTGGCTTCAGAAAGGGGCAGTGTGTGATACCATTTTTGAGGTTGCCAAGGAGCCCCATCATGTGCCCCTACGGCCTCGCCAACCTTGAGGCTAAAAGGAAAAGTTACATTCTGTTAGGCACATGGGAAAGCCTCTTAACTTTCTGCCCTTTTTCCATTCCTTAAGGAAATCAGAAATCGAGTACTACGCCATGTTGGCCAAAACCGGTGTCCATCACTACAGCGGCCACAACATCGAGTTGGGCACGGCGTGCGGCAAGTACTACAGGGTGTGCACGCTGGCCATCATCGACCCCGGTACGCTTTTCAAATAGTGGGCTTCGTTTTTGTCTTTTCCTTTATAATATAAAGGAGAAGTTTGCTATATGGATCTCTTAATTCCCTGTGTTCAGATACCGAAGAGGTGGCCTGTAAGGGGGGTGGTGGGGGTGGTGAGGTCTCCTGTAGTTTATTGCAGAGGGGTGGTGAATGTGTCAGAACAATATAATGAACTTTTGGTTGCTATTACACATTGCCTTTTAAAAATTACTTTAAGATCATGCATTTCATTTGAAACACCTAGGAAATAGTGACCAGAATTCACATCATGGTTTGTTTCAGATGAGAGGAAGTTATATTTAGGATTTGGGGGTTTTATTTTGTTTATGGTTTACTTCTAACCTTTTAACAGAAGAATAAGATATCGAAATTAGGGGTTGTCAAGATTTTTTTAATGGACCTGTAATAGAAAGTTGTTTGAAGACTATGAACTTAGTAAAAAGGGAATAAATAATATGATGAAATGAAAATAGGTAAAACTGAGTGAGAGAAGAAAGTAACTGCAACTTTCGTGTGTATTTTGAATTGATTAATTACATATACTGCGAATATTCTCGCTGTCCTGGTTCTGTGGTAGCCAGGGCAGGCTAACCATTCGCTATATTAAGACCATGCATGTGTCCCCAGGCTGAGTTCTCTCCCTGAGCCTGGTTTTATCAATGCTGGTGATAAGTCTGCATTTCTGTATATGGCTGGTACTCTAGGGATCTTTGTTCAAGTTCAAGATGACTGTCTAGTGAAATGGGAAGTAACAAATGTGAATTTGCAGAAGTATGTCTAAAGTAGGGGGATTCTGCAATAACTTATTGCCATTCATTAATGTAAAATTATTTTATCTTCTAGGTGATTCTGATATCATTAGAAGCATGCCAGAACAGACTGGTGAAAAATAAATCCTGCAATTTTTTTCTTTAATAAAACTGGCCAGAGCTTGTTTTAAAACACTGTGTTCATTTCAGTTGTTTTCCTTTATGTCTGGGTCAGTGCTCCTTCCTAAAGGTGGGATTAGAACGAATGAGAAAGCTATTTCTTGACATGTGTTTCTTTTTTTTCTTTTTCTTCCATAGTTCTTTATTTTATTTATTTTTTAACATTTTATTAGGGGCTCATACAACTGTTACCCCAATCCATACACACATCAATTGTGTAAAGCGCATTTGTACATCGTTTCTCAAAACATTTTCTCTCCACTTAAACCCCCGACACTAGGTCCTCATTTTTCCCCTCCCTCCCCGCTCCCCCCTCCCACATGAGCCCTTGATAGTTTATAAATGGGTATTTTGTCATATCTTGCCCCATCCGACGTCTCCCTTCATCCACTTTTTGGTTGTCTGTCCCCCAGGGAGGAGGTCACACACAGCTCCATGTAATCGGTTCCCTCTTCCCTACCCATTCTCCCTTTACCCTCCCCGTTTTGCCACTCACACCACTGGTCCTATAGGGCTCATCCGTCCTGGATTCCCTGTATTTTCAGTTCCTATCTGTACCAGTGTACCTCCTCTGGTCTAGCCAGTCTTGCAAGATAGAATTCGAGTCATGGTAGTGGGAGCAGGGAGGAAACCTTTAGGAACTAGAGGAAGGTTGTATTTCTCATCATTGTTACATCGCACCCTGACTGGCTCATCTCCTCCCCTAGACCCCTCTGCAAGGGGATCTCCAGTGGCCTACTCATGGGCTTTGGGTCTCCACTCTGCACTCCCCCCATCATTCACTATGGTAAGATTTTTTGTTCTGATGATGCCTTACACTCTTGACATGTGTTTCATAGAAATTTCGTTGTATTCTAAATGTCATACTTTATGTAGTGGTGCCCAGACTGGGGAAATGAGTATTCACAAAATAATTTCTAATTTAAGTACATTTAAAAGTGACTCATTATCTTGATTGAGAATTGAGTTGGTGTGTACATTAGTTGGGTATACGTTACTCAGTCTGCGGTGCTTGGCTTCCAAGAGACTGCAAAAATGGTAGGATCTTTTAAACGGTCTTTTCAGAGTCGATCCTGTCTCTGGTAACAGTTTCTGATGGTCGTTGAGGGTGCCTTCTATATAGTGCATACTTTGTACCTGGAAAGGCCAGCAATTCTGTAGAGCACACCTACCCAGAGGCCTTAGATTTGGATTGATCTTATACAAAAATGTTTAATTCTTGGGGAAAATGCTTAATTCCATTTTCTATGACTTTTTGAAGGCCTCCTTTTGTGTTAAGGGAGAACAGTCACATGCAAGTTGCTGTTGCCCTTTGGCAGCTCCCACCGGTTGGTCCGTGGCCGAGTTAATATTTCATTGTGCCTCCATTTCTTGGGGTGTTCTGGGCAATTCTAGTACTCTAGTGCCCCTGCCACTCATCTTTGCATCTTTGGAATTCTGATGTTTTTTTTTCCTAAAACAACTAACCAAAAAGCAAAAAACGCCCCTTAATTTGGGGGGCAACGCCTTTCCAATAAAAAGAAAAGTTTGGATTGAAGTTTAAAGGACATTTCAGGGCTGCTGTCTCAGGGAGTCTTGCTCACAGGTGGAGTTTGGCATTTTCCGCATCGTCCTGCCTGTGGTCGGATCTGGCAGCGGAGGTAGTGGTAATGGGCACCATCCAGTTTGGGCTCAGGTAGCTGAGGCCATTGCTCATGGAGATGATCATCATCCTTGTAGGTGGGTTTGTGTTTCTCGTTACCTTCTGACTCTGACTAATTTAGAGACCATAGCATCTAGAGCAGTGGTTCTCAGCCTTCCTAATGCTGTGACCCTTTCATACAGTTCCTCATGATGCAGTGTGACCCCCCCCCCCAACCATAAAATTGTTTTTGTTGCTACTTCATAACTAGTTTTGCTACTGTCATGAATCGGGCAACCCCTGTGAAAGGGTCATTCGACCCCCAAAGGGGTCACGACCTACTGGTTGAGAACTGCTGATGGAGATGGATGGCTGCCTTTTGAGACCCAGCCGCTGCTGGCCTCACTGGCATGCGGAGCACACACCACTATACTATCCCCATTGATGGCCTTGTCTCAGACTGACCCTAAAATCCCCACCTAGAGAACAATCTCAGGAGACTTGATAACACTGTCTGCCCAGCCTGTATTTAGATGCACTGGGTTGCCACAGTATTTTCCAGGGCATTTATCCCAATGGTCTCACTAAAGTTCTAGGGGCAGGGATTCCTATTAAGTTGAACAACCAGAGTGAACAATGATTTTAGGGCTTAAATACTTATTGATAATGTATTTTCCATTATCCAATGTTTCCAATGTCCAATATTTTTTCTTCATCCTGTTAAAAGCTAAGTCTTGAACATCTTAGACATTTCTCCTACCTGCCTGCTTCAACAACTGAGGGATGAGCATTGCATTTGGAGTTTGTTCCACCAGGTCAAACTTATTCAAGCTTCCTATTTAGAGCTTCTGAAAAGATTGCCTGACAGTTTGAGGGACAAAAAGACCTGGTTTGTGGCAGACAGACTGGTTTTGCCACCACAACAATGTACCTGCTCACAGCCATCTCTACCAATTTTTGGCAAAAACAGCAGCCTCTCTGGCTCTGTGCACCTTACCTGGCCTGGCTCCATGTGACTTCGTTTTGTTTCTGCAAATGAAGAGGGACATGAAAGGACTGATTTGATGACGTAGAAGAGCTGAAGAGAAAAAAACGCAGGGAGGTGCTATCAGCCATCCAAACATGAGTTTGCACAATGTTTCCAAGAATGAAATTGCAGATTTGAGAAATGTATTAAGTATAAAGGGAGAGTACTTAGAAGGTGATTGTGTGGTTTTGTAAAAATATATATAGCTTTGGAGGGTGGGGGTGTAATTCCACGGGGTTCTTTGGTACCCCCTTGTATTAAGTGCTGGCGGCCGATTTCTAGGTGCCAAAACAGAATGAAGCATTTCAAGTTTTAAGACACTCTTCCAATGAAATCTTGGATTAAGTTATACATGTGATATGTAAGTTGGAGACCTGATTTTCCTGAAGAGGCTTTCCCCCCAAAGTGAAGAAGACTGAAAGGTTAAAATGAATGCACCTACTGCTATGTAGTCAGTTCCCAGTGATAGCCACCTTGCAGGAAGGGCAGATTGGAACTGTCCCACAGGGCCTCCGGGGCTGTCAATCTTTATGGAAGCAGACTGCCTTCTTCACCTGTGGAGCAGCTGGTGGATTGGAAGAGTCCACCTGGAAGAGCACAGTCCGATGCTTACCCCACTGTACCACCAGGGGGCCTTTTAAAATATTTGACAGTAGCAGAGGAAGTTGAGCAGGATCATACAACCATTTATAGATAGCTGTAATAGTCTTGGGAAGACATTGGCTTATGATTTTGTTTTTCTACTTTATAACATACTCAAAACATTACATTGAGGTAGGACTTTTAATGCTATAGAAATTTCTATTATTTGTTCATGAGCTTCTCTGTCAGTTTTTTCTCCTTTTAAAACATTTATTGACTCATTCTCCTCTGGCTATGCATCCATCCAGAAGGCACACCTTTACTGCAACCGGATCACTGTTAGTCTGTAGGCCAGAGAGACTTCAAGACCCGGTACCACTGCCATAGCCCGAGGTTTGATTAGGGTTGATAATATTCCCGGCTCTATATGGCCACTAGAGGGCGCCTTGGCACAAGAGAACCTCAAGTATCATTTACTCCCACTGGAAGGACACGTGCTTATCTGTACTTGGATGAAATCTCAAGCAACAGCAATGCTAACTCAAATCAATGTTTTAAACACTTCCTAATGGAACATATTGAGAAATTAAATGGATGTTTCAAAAATAGAAACGCAAACTTTAATTTTCTACATAACATACCTGAAGGATTAACAACTGGTTTCAGAAAGACATTCGATGGAAACGCCAGTCTTGAAATATTTAACTACTGCCAGGAATGAAGCTTGTTCAAAAGCATCATCAGAACCCCCAAACACAGCTTCCTGGAAGAATGGCATTGTTTTAGTATCTTCGTGTTCTGTTGAAGCTGCGGGCCTTAGTGCGTCTCGCTGCTTCAAGTGCTTCCCTGAGCTCCTGCTATTCCCGTCTTAATATATTTTTACAAGTTTACTTGTTTTAAGAAAACCCCTTTAAGGACATGGTTGAAATCCCCACTGACCCTGTATTCCCATTTCCTTTTCCAGGGACAAACACTATGGTGATGTTGACCCTTAGAGATTTTCTTCAGTATTGAAAAATCTGCATTTCTGAAACAATTTCGCTTTTAAAATTCATTTTTGCTCACAAGTTCTAACAATGTGCATCGAGACTCAATGTGTTCCGCCAACTGTAGAGTGCTAGTGATCAATTCTGATTTGTTGCTTTTGTGCACGCTGCACCATTCTTACACAGGTGCTCTCTCTCCTATGCGTGTGCTGAAGTCTCCTGTTAGATACTCTACTCACAGGGCTGTGGATGTTTTCAATGTAACTGATGCCAGCAGAATGTTCTCCAAAGAGACTACCGGTTTCCACATTCACTAATCAAGCAGCTCATTGTCACTGAACTGGCGGGTGATAGACAAGTGGTCCTGTGCTCACTGCCTTTTCCGGAATACCAGGAGATGCCGCCTCTTTGCAGCCTTGTATAAGCCACTTCTCGTGGGGCCATACCTTGCTGTGAACGGGAAGCGAAGAATTGTACGCAGCCTATCATTCTCTGAAGAGGTGAACTTTAATACTGTATTTTAAAAAATCCAACATGTTATACAAGTACATGTGTCTTACAATTTGATGCATACATCCATATGTATCATGGTAAAGCTCATTAAAAAAAAAAGAAGCTTTTCCTATGGCCAGTGTTCTACAGAAGTAAGACTGCAAACTTTTACTTTGTGTCCAATGAGATTGCAATGGTGTAAGGCAGGAGGGGCAGAAGCAAGCCTCGTCAGCCCGCAGTGTCAAATACAAAGTACCTTGCACCGCTTACTCATCCCACTTGGTGAAGTCATCTTAGGAATCTGACCGGATCTGGTGGTTTCTTTTTGCCCACATCAATGTGTACACACTGTTGTCTATCTTCGGCCTTGGTTTGCCATGCCAAACCAGCTCTTTTTCACACTAGCCATGCTTTGTCACAGGCGTAATGATCGCCTGAGCGGCCTGCCACCCACGGGCTCCTGGGAACGATGGTGTGCACAAACAAGCGGAGCCTTTGGTCTTCATCTGGACCGCAGGCGGTTCTCCAGGGCTTCCATCCTCTGTGTCATTTCTTCCAGTACAGCCTCGAGTTAAGGAAGGAGCGACGGCATCGCCTGGTTTTATTCATATTCACATGCAAGTGGATTCAGCTACAGAAAAATCTAACTGTCTCACAAAAAGGAAAGACGCTGCCCCCAAACCTCCCCCCAGCCCATTTTAATCGAGCATTTAAAAACCCTGGCTGTACAGAGCAAAGCACGAACTGATAGACACACACCCCTGTTTATCGCGGCGATTCTTATCCTAGAAATGGAATGGGACCAATCAGAACCCCCAGCTGGAGGAATGGATCAACTCTGGACGACACACACAGTGGAATAGTCTGCATCAAACACCTCACGGCTCGGACAAAACTGGGGGACATTTGAAGGCTATGATAAAGCCAGGGGACGGGGCTGGGGTGGGGGTGAGGGGTTGGGGGGAGAAGAAAACCACACACCAGACTGGGGGGTTGGCTTACTGATGGGATGTGGGCTGTGCCACTACATACAGTGTGTTCCCTTTGTACGCGTCACATTCAACAAAGGGGGAAACAGGACTGGAACTAAAGCGAGCGAGCGAGAAGGGTCAGTCTTCAGAAGGCTCTGGATTCCCGACCCTCAGACCCAATGTCGGTCTGAGTGGCTGGAGAAGGAGGGAGAGCACAATGGAAACAAGGTGTCCGACACACAAACTAAGACAAAACCCTGACTCGGAAGTGTACATTCATTTATCATCTGCGAATAACCCCTAATTTAGGAGCCCAGGGGGCATCATGAGCTACGCACTGAACTGCTACCCACCAGGTTAGCAGTTCGAACCCACCAGCTGCTCCACTGGAGAAAGAGGAGCCTTTCTGGCCTGTAAAGAGTGACTATCTCAGAAACCCAAGGGGGCAGAGCTACCCTGTCCCATAGGGCCACTGTGAGTGGGAGCCAATGTGACAGCAATGAGAAGCAATCGTTCTGTTTCAGGTTAAGTGCTTAAACAACAACAAACATGATCAAAATTCAAATAGCTCAGAACTTTGCTCCCCGCCACTCCCCTTAATTTTTGAATTCCACTGCATGTCTGTCCCTGTGGCTTGGCCACTTGCTTGCCCTGGCACAAGATAAGGTTGGGAATGTGGTGAGGAGAATGGAAGAGCTAGGCCTGGAGCCCTGAGACGCAGTCATAAGAAAAGGGAGAATTGACAAGATGAAGCCAAGGGGTTGCTAATTAACTCCCTGCCATCGAATCAGTACTGATTCATAGTGACTCTATAGGACAGCGTAGAACTGCCCCTTGTGAGTTTCCAAAATGACAACTCTTTATGAGTAGAAAGCCCTATTTTTTCCCCTACAGAGTGACTGGTGGTTTCAAACTTTGGACCTTATAGATCACAACCTAACATGTAACCACTATGCCACCAGGGCTCCTCAGGGATCTGAAGCATTCTGCAAGGTGCTCTCACACCCTCACCTGTGCATTCCTTGTCTCAACTGCACGGCCTTCACAGGTGCACTAGGGAAAGGGAGAGGAAGGGAAGGGGCCTTCCCCTCGGCAAACGAATACCATGCCCCTGCCCACCTGGCAGGAGAAGGGAAGCCCAGATTCTTCACCTGTGTTAATCATGAGAGAAATGATGTTACTTCAAAGGAAAACACCAAACCTGTTGCTGCCGAGGCGACTGATGGTCACAGGGACTCTACACGAGAGAGGAGGGCTGCCCGTCACGTTTCCCCGCTGTGCGTCTGTAAGGAAGCAGACTGCGCCTTTCTCCCGCAGAGCAGCTGGTGGGTCCCTTGGTGCTTCAGCACCGTGCACCTCAACAGACAACCCCCCAAAGCCCCCTGCCAGCGAGCGGACACTGACTCACAGTGACCCTAAAGGGCAGGGGAGAACCACCCCTGTGCGTTTACGAGACTAATAGTTTACAGGAGTTGAACACTCCACCTTGGTGGTTTTGAAATGATGACCTTTCGGATCGCAGCCCAGTCAGTAACCCCTATGTGACCTTTATTTCACTTAAAAAACCCAAAGAACCCACTGCCGTTGATTGGATCCTAACTCAGCAACCCTGTAGAGAAAAGAGAAGAACAGCGCCCCAGGGTTTCCAAGAAGCTCTTTTCAGAAGAGCAGACAGCCCTCACGGCGGGTGGATTTGAACTGCTGAGCTTGTGATTTGCAGCCCAATGCCTAACACGCAGTGCCACCACACTTCCAGCTTTCCAAAAGGGAACTGATATCCTCACTGTTATCCTCACAATGTAAACTCAGCCCCGAGGCAGTTCCAGTTGAAACGATTTCCCTAAAGCTGAGTTCAGTGTACATTGAGATCACTATTAGGCAGCTTTTTAGTAAGCTTCCTATCATTTTAAATTCAGAGCAATTGGCAGTATGTCCAATGTGTAAAAGCACTGACTCCTTATTTCTCCATTATTCCAAAGTATGCCTTTTCTTTGTAATGTTGTTTTAATGAATCATTGGCCCCTGCTGGTCCCTTGGTGGAATGCTCCATCCTTTAGATGCTGATATAAAAGTTTTCTGCTGCCAAAAAATGACAGAGTCCTCCAGAAACTACACGCAAAATCCAAATGTGCCTGCAGTGTTGCTGGGCACTTGGACTGTGTCAGAAACCTCTCGCTTCCCCACATTTTTTGCCAGTAGGAGGGTAAGTCAAAAATGGACTGCTACCAAACCGTGGAAATCTTTATTAAAACAACAACAGCAACAAAGCAAAACATGAAGCTTTGCTTGCTCAACACATCCTCCAACCGAGGTGTTTCCACGTCAGAAGGCAGTGTTTTCCATCTCGCAAACCCTCCCCTCAGGAAGTCTGTGCGAAGGTGACCAGACGTCCCGCTTTTGGCAGGACAGTCCCGATTGTTAACAATTTTTCCTGCATCCCAAGGCATTTTTTAAAAGTCCCGATTTTTGGAAAGAATGCACAACAAGCTAGGGTAGACAGTTTTCGGCTGCCATGTGGCTATTTCACCAGGATATGAGTTTTATCAATGGTGTCCCCCTTTACCAATGTTAAAATCTGGTCACCTTATCATTGACACCAAGGCTAACCGCTGGGCACCTCCCGGGACTCACATCAGGTTCTCTGACATGTTCTTTGAGTTTGGGGAGCAACAAGAAGTCTGAACAGCCAAGCTCAGGGCCGTGTGTGGATGGGGTACAGCCTCCCACCAAGATCCTCACTGGGGGGCCCTTGCTCCCCTTGAAGAATGAGCACGTGTGACGTCCCGATAAAGAAAAAGAAATCCTCAGGGCACCTTTGCTGGCCTTTTCTTCACCCATAGAGTTTCCAATATCTTACAACTTCTTCAGGATAAGCCTCTGTGAGCATCCTATGTCCTTGGAGAAAATCTATCCGCACGACCCCCTGAGATCCCTAAAAGCATTCTCCATCCCTCTCTGGGCTGACCTCTCTGCCTTGAATAGGACTGGCTTAGCAGCTCCCCCTTGGAAGTCACTGTTCTGATTGGAATTTTTTGAAGGCACCCCAAAGAGACTAAGACATGTGTATTACCGGGAGAACTCTTCATGCTTTGTTTGGAACAAACCCGTTCAGGGAGGAACTAGAACCCCAGTAGCTGTGTGTGTGTTTATAAATAAATATATATATTAACTTACCCTCATGTCTGTCTTCAATGCACTTCTGATATGGCTCATATACTTCCAGCAGGAAAGGGGTTAATTGAGCTTGGGCTTTTCAGTAAACTCCCCTACAACCAAATCCAAACCAAACTCACTGCCATAAGTTGAATCTGACTCTGCAAGCGTATTGGACAGGGTAGCACTGTCGGTAGCACTGTCCATCTTTATGGGAGCAGAAAGCCTCGCCTTTCTCTCACAGAGCGGCCGGTGGGTTCAAACTCCTGGCCTTTCTGTTAGCAACCCAATTCCTAACCCACTACACCACCAGGGCTTTGCAGGCAGCATGACCAAGCTGTGCTCTTAGCTTTCAATTGCCTCTCAGGCTGCTTTTAAGTCAGAATTCGTTCCTGGGGTTCACTCTCCTTGGCTTTATGGAAGTGACTCCCTATTTTTACAGGCCCGCACTATCCAGTACCCGGGAAGTTTGGATCCTAGCCTCTGCGCCCCACGCCAAAGCAGAACCTTTGAAAAGGATATAGCGCCGTGTTAATTTCCTGACTTCTTCGTTCGCCAGGTTCTGGAACATGATAAGGTTTTCACATTTGCACCGATCATGTTTTTCTTCCCGAGGGCTTCCTGAGAGAGCAGATGGAAAGTGTTCACCTCTGTAAGCCACCCGCCTTCCCAGACACATAATCGTCCGACTGAATCATCCTATAGAGGGAACCATCATGAAAGACGCGTCTAACTTTTTCCATGCAGGCAGACCCAGGGAGGCAAATACCAGGAAAGGGCCATGTGCGCGGCCAAGGCTGGAAGGGGCCTTGCTTGTAGAGCAGGAGGGAAGACTGCTCGGTTCCTTTGCATCCATTATGATTGTTTTTCAGCTTCTCATTGTAGACGCCGGATGGATGGACGTGTGTCAGGAGGGGCCAATCTTTAGAAAAGTGGAGGGTCAGTGGGCACGGGAAAGACCCTCCACAAGATGGACTGACACCGTAGCTGCAACACCGGGCTCAAACGAAGCGCTGACTGAGGAGGGCGCAGGACTGGGCTGTGTCTCAGTTTACTGGCTTTCTTTTCTTTTCCTGAATCCTATTTCCTACTCCCCCTTCCTGCCCTCTGGGAAGCCAAAGGGCTGACAGAAGCCAAAAGGTTGGTATCAAGTTCCCTTATTCCACATCGGGATATTTTGCTGGGCATTACCTGAAGCTTTCGCCGACTGGGAGGACTTTTGTGTAGAGTGTGAGCGACGGTCCTCCTCAAACAGATACCTGTGCTGCACTGCAAAGTCGGAACAGGAAAGGAGCTCTCGGACACTTATGGTGACAGGCTCAGACTCTGGGAAGAGAAGGAGAACTGAAGTCAAACCTGCCTCAACCGGCGAGGGAAGGTAACAGCACTGCTATTTCTGTGAAGTACGTCAAAGACCATCAGCAGAGATCCAAGGGGTTTCTGAGCCTATAACTGTTTAAGGGAGTAGAAAGTCCAGTCTTTCTCCCTTGGAGCTCCTGGTGGTTTCGAACTGCCTACCCTGAAGATCACAGCACAACACAAAACCCCTATATCTGGCTACCAAATATGGCTTCAAGCAGAAGAGTGGCTGTGTGCTATCCAACCAACCAAGAGGGGGAAATAGCCACCGTGAAAATACATCTTATATTTCCACTTCTTTACAACTTTTGCCCAGAGGAAAGCCATGGTGAAAGCAGCTGTTGACGGCTCTGAAAACTAAAAACACCAAACTCACTGCCATTGAGTCGATGCCCACCACAGTGGCCCTATAGGACAGGGTAGAACTGCCCCTGGGAGTTTCCGAGACTGCAACTATTTAGGGCAGCGGAAAGCACTGTTTTTCTCCTGAGGAGCAGGCTGGTGGTTTTGAACTGCTGACCTTGTGGAGTCCAACTTATAACCAGGGTCCGAAAGGACAGCTCTTCAAGTCAATGTACCTGAAGGCTGGCGGGCCTTCTGCGGCATCTCCTCCGCTGGGGAGTCCTGACTTCCATCAGAGTCTTCCAGAGCTGAGAGGGAAAAGGACAACAAGGGGCGACAAATGTCCACAAATGCATGTCCCTTAGCTAGTTATTATTATTTTTCAGAGCGCCTTTAGGAAGTTGTCTCCGGGCCACCTCTGGGCCTCCCCGCCCAGGTGAGGAGACAGGAAGTCAGGAAATTAACACGGCGCTATAATCTGCAGTGGAAGATTCAGAAGAGCCATGGGTGACAGCAGAGAGCACCCTAGGGCAGGTCTTGCTAGTGCTAGTGTAAGCACGCCTTACACGAGGTCAATGCATGGTCTCTCTTCATTTCTACTACGCCAAGGCGTAGGAGAGGAACCTCAGGTTGGCCTGGGGCCAGGTGGAGCTGCATTTTGCCCACACGTGACTTCAGAATGGCCCCCAGAAATGTCATGTCAACGAGGGAGGACAGGAGAAAACACAGTGCCCTGGCCGCGTGTCAACTTGAAGACAAGACGTGTTCCCCTCTCATTAGGAAGCACAGGGCTTCCCTGTCCAGCTCCCTTGACGGCACCCGGGACATGAGTCAAGGACCAAGTGGAACTGCTGGGTGCAACCAGGCAGCGGACGGGAGGAAAGAGGAGCCGGGGGCGTGGTGCGCACGGCGGAATCTCCGCCCTAGCAAGGGGCAGCTGGAGAGGCTGTGGGCGGAAGGCGTCCGTGCAGGGCTGCATGAGGGCGCCAGCACGATTGGGTAGGCACACAGCTTCCCCGGTGCTTCAGCTCCGTCTCTGATGGTGGGGTTTTTGGGGGGTGGGGGGTGGGTTAGGTTTTGTCTGAGGATTAAGTATGACTTGGTTTGTGGGGATTCCTTGAGCTGTATTATCACGGGAAAGGTATACTTAGTATAAACATGTATATATAGTCTAATTCATAAATTCCCAAACTTATTTGACCCACCGCCCTCTTTTTCAGAAAAAAAAGAAGAAAAAAAAGATTACTCAATGCCCACCCCCACCCCCTAGTAATTACAAATTGCACTACAGCCCATCATCCAGGACAGAGCGTAGGTATTGCTCTTGCAGCCGCCCTCGATCCTTCTTGTGCTCCCTAGAGGGCAGTATTGCCCACTTTGGAAAACACTGGTCTATTGGATAAAACATAAAATTAAAAATGGAACAAAATAAACGGCGAGAAATAAGGAGCGCATAGCAATGAGTACAAGAAAGGAGACAATGTTCTGAAACTGATTGTGGTGATGATTTCCCAGCTCTGCTTAATATGACTGAGCTATTGAAGTGTATGACCGGTGAATTACCGTGCCGATAAAACCATGAAACAAACACACTAGCAGATCACACTGCGTGGCACAGCCAGGCCCCGTTCGTTATTCTTTGGGGGCTTCCGTCCTCTCTCCTCTCATCTTCTGCCTGTGCTTAGTGCCTCACTGCCCTGGCCCACCAAGAGCCACCGCTTGGAAGGCTTCGCAGGAATGGTGGCGGAGTGCTTGCACCAAAGCCCAGCTGCCTGTTTCGCCCCTGGGTCTCCTAACATAAGCCCTCGTACCTTCACATATGCCTCTCTTTAGCTTCTCACTGATCTCGCCCATGGTGCGGAAGTCTTTGGCATAGAAGAGGTACTTGCCGGTGGGTTCAGAAGCAATCTCCTGCAGCTCTTCCTCGATGGCTTTCCCCACCCCGACAGCATACACAGTGATACCTAGAAGGCAGGGCAAAATGAGAGCCAGGCGTTAGCGCTGGGCCCCAGGGTCTAGAACACAGGCGCACCGCGCCCAAAGCCAGACAGAGATGCTGAGGGATGCGATTTGAGGAGTCTAGGTCAACACCCCTCTTTCTCCGTCAGTTTCATCTTGGTTCTTTGTGCCAAAGGGGAAGGACTGAAGGGAGGGGGAGGCAAGGCCTGCAGGAGAGCTGTTGCTCTGTTCGGGACAGGGCCCTGGAACTGGAAAAGAGCAGCACCAACTTTATGGATGGTGATCTCTACCAACCATGCCGGCTTTTTGGTTTCCTTATGTCAAGGGCCTGCCCCTCTGTCACCCTTCACGGCTGTACACACGTCACATGGGGAAGGCCCTCTTCAGGAAGAGTCTAAGAAGCAGGTCCACTTGTGGTCTGCTAGTGTAGGATAGGAACCTCAGAGTGGGCCGGTGCCAGGTGGAGCTGCATTTTGCCCAGACCTCTGGAAAAGACAGTCGGGTCAGGAGGAGAACCGGAATGACAGAGTCAGGAAAAAGTACCAGCCCAAGAATCAACTGGAGATTGCAAAAGGGATATGCAGTGGGCCCAACGCTTTTTCTAAAAGTGAATCTTAGATTTCCCCTCTCCTCATACACTACTCATTTGAAAGGAAGGGACCCCAAGGGTTTAGGTTCTGCTTGATGGCAAGCATTTGCCAGCACAGCTTTCTGCTTCTGGCTAATTCATCAGATGAGACTTTAAACGTAACACACATCAAAATGAGTCTTGAAGCCTACAAGCCAGCGTGGATGCCTCGCTCTGTCTGTGAAAGGTCACTAGATAATTGAAGCATATTTGTCTGGAAGCCCCGTGACTTTACACAGGACTTCCTGTTTTAAGGCCGTGTTAGCCCCACACGGGGGTCATGGAATTGATGAGAGGACCTCATTTCAGATAGAACTACGGGTGACTCAAGAACCAAACACACACCTATTTCTCCCACCCCCGGCGCTTGGGTCACCGCTGGACATCTGAACGCAGGAAGGGGTATGGTGGATTAGTCTTCACGAGACAAAATGAAAGCGTTCACCGTGGTCCTAACTCTAGCAAGCTGTGCCAGGCTAGAGAGAAAGTGAGGATGTGCATGCCAGTCTCACAGCCCGGCCAGATGTGGAGCAGGGCACTTTTAGTGAGCGCCACTCCCTGGACCAGGACGAAAGAGTGAGGAGTGAGGCGAGTGATACCAGTGAAGGGACCCCCTTCGTGAACAGCTACTGAGTGCCAGCAGGAGCCAGTCTTCCTGGGGCACGGCATGGGCTTGCTGGCTCTCCATCCCTTTGCTCAGTCACTCAGCACGTCTTTCAGATCAGGCACTGCTACGTGCCAGGCCTGAGCGAGCCAGGTGCTTACAAAGGCATGGTGAGGGCTGGTCTGTGCACAGCCTTGGCCCCTGGGTCTGACTGTGTCACAGGAAAACCTTGGAACATTGGGTTTTCAGAGGCTGATTCTTCCTGATTCCCAAGCCTTTCTTTCAAGGTAGCTCTGGGAGGGCGCAGTCTGCCAACCTTCCAGCCATCTGCCCAACACATGAGCTATTGGTACTACCAGGGGGCTCCTGTCTTCTTACAGGACCCAGAAATGCTATTGCCCTAACTAAGCACACAGAAAGCCTCAAGCTTCCTTGTGGGAAACTAACACCGAGGGAATATGACTAGGACTATATCCCCTAACTTTAACAGAAGGAATCTGGAAAGCTAGTATTCCACCGTGGGAAAAGCCACCACTTTAGTAAGTTAAAGTCCATTATCCAAGTACACTATCATTCCCACGGATTCTCCCCTAACAGATATGCTGCCTTAAAGTGAGCACATGGTTGATTCTATCTCCCTATAGAGGCAGACATTCCTTTGTTATCTCCTCCCACAGCAGCACCCATCCCCCCTCACACCTTCCCCCAATGCAGGTATTAGGTTTCCTCACCTGTGAGCTCAGGGACCTTGCTGTAGTTACCCCCCACCTTGTGATGTATGTAACTAATGAATATGCATGTCTTATAGCTACCTATAAATATCCCAAGATAGTAAAGATGCCCTCCCTCCTCTCTCTCTCTCTTTCTCCCAAGAGGGGCTGAGGTGAGCATGCTACTATGAAATGTGTCTGACTCCTTTATTTTATTCTCTCTCCTATCGCTCCTATCTTCTATGACTGTACTATAATCCTTATATATTATCGCTGTACAATTGTGCCTACGGACCCTTCGGTTGTTAGAGGCTGGTTTCCTCTGACACTTCCTCCTTCTGCAAGGAGCACAGAGGGCTCACCAGAGGCTATGTCTACCACCCATCCTAGCTTTGGGATCCTTCCCGTTGCCAAGCGCCTATTCCTCTGTACAACTAAAGTCACCCTCAAGCTTGCCCTCGTTACCCACAGAAGCAGGAACACCTTAGCAGAGAAGCTGAGCTCTCCGGAGGCACAAGAACAGAGCCCCATCCTCTCTTCCGACACATGGGTTTTTCTTGAAGGCGGAATTTTCGTCCTGCAGACACAGGACTATTGTCTGTCCTAAGCTTATTGTGCTTTACGACAGTGCTCACTCAAATTTCTTTTTCTTTTTTTTTTTTCCACTCAAATTTCTTGTTAAAAAAAAAGTAGAACTTCTCACCAGGCAGGATTCTAAACGTGGTCACCCACTGACTAGTGAATCACAAGTGTGGTCTGTGTGCAGACTAACTACTCGTTCAGCAAGACTCCCTCACCTGCTCTGCAAGTGCTTTGTAAGGAGCCCTGGTGGAGTAGTGGGTTAGGCATTGAGCTGCTAACCACAAGGTCCGCAGTTTGAATCCACCAGCTTCTCCTTGGGAGAAAAAGGAGGCTCCTCCCGTAAAGATGCTAAAAGTCTCAGGAACCCAGAGGGGCAATTCTGCCCCACCCTGGGGGGTCACTAGGAGTCTGCGGGGATTTTTGTTTTGTTTTGTGGGCCTCCAGGAGGCAATTGAGTCTAGGTGTGTAATGGCAGTGAACAGGAAGCTCTCATCATTGGCTAGAGAGGCTCACCCTGGGGGCCGGCTGGGGGCCCTGGAACCTTGAGTGATATAAACCACACCCCCACTCCATATTACCATTGGCCTTGGCTTTACTGGCCCACTCGGAGACGTCGTCCTGAGCCCGTCCATCCGTGAACACGATGGCCACCCTGGGCACGTGTATGGAGGGAGGCCTGGCGCCTTCTCCTTGGGAGAAACTTCTCTCAAACATGTGCTTCAGGGCCAGCCCCGTCATAGAGCCCCTGCCCATGTACTTCATGTGGGCCACGGCTTTCTTCATGTCCCGGGCCGAGCTGAAGGTCTTCAGGGTGAACTCCGTGCGGACCTGCGTGGAATACTGCAGCAGCCCCACCCGAGCGGCCTTGGGGGAAACCGCTAAGGAATCGATGATGCCAATGACGAACTGCTTCACTGTCTCAAAGTTGTCTTCTCCGAGGCTCTTGGATCCATCGATCACAAAGACCAGGTCAATCGGGCCTTCAGTACATTCTACAGGAAGCAGACAGAAATTGAGATACTAGAAAATAACAGTTATATATATATATAACATATATAAAACATATATATATATGTTTTACTTATGCACAAGAGTAGAAAGAAATCACACCTCAGTGGGAGGCGCAGCCCCTTTGTGCCACTGCCAAGGTTCTCCAGCTAATGACAGAGACAGATGAAGAGAAAAAGGTGGGGGAGGGGGTCACGAGCAACAGCAATGTGTACTTGCCCTTAGATGCTGTGCTTGTCAGACTGCTGGTTTCAAAGCTGTGTATTTCACAAGCAAACCCACATAGCTCATGTATACGTTGTCTAGGAAGCCAAGTGCACACTCTACCTTGGTCACCGGCAACCAGGTCTCACAGGGAGCTGAGTCAGAGGACAACACCCAAAATATTCTTCTTACTGGACTCCAGGAGGATCCCATGGCCCAGCACTGGCATCTGACTGAGGTCAGAGGCAACTGCTTAACATTCAGCTCAGCCATCTTATCTGCCAAGGAGCTTCCCTGGTAGCCACCCTCATGTCAGGGCTCCTCTCCCTGCCCCAAGCAAGCGTCATGGAGTTCTTCAACACATGCACTTACCGGGCACTGACTTTGTGCACAGCAGAGCTGCAACCGTGACCCGGACAAAATTCCTGTTGCCAAATGACTCAAGGCCTTGGGCTTTGAACCTCTAGGTCAGCAGTTCAAAGCCACCAGCCAGCTCCGAAGGAGCAAGACAAGGCTTTCTACTCCCTTAAAGAGTTGCAGTCATGGAAACCCACTGGGGAAGTTCTACCCTGTTCCGTAGTGTCGCTGTGAGTCAGAATCGACTCGATGGCAGTGAGTTGAGTGACAGCCCCCACCCCCACCCCCCCACCCCCCACTGTACCAATCTAACAGGCCAAAAAACTCAGTTTTTGAACTGAGTCCTTTGCGGATTGCAGCTACACCTGTAACTGCTCCACCACCGGGGCTCCTCCCACGCAGCACAGGAATGGTGTCATCACGTGGGTCTGATCTGCTTCCCTGGAAAGCCTTCAGGAGCGGCTCCCTTCTGTACACAGGCAGTTATCATGAGCTGGAGCCAACTCAACAGCAACTACCAACAGAGAGCACCGCCTGGCAGGGACCTTGTCTGATTCGTTGCTGATCTCCCAACCTCTGGCCCACAACAGGCGTTCAATGAACATTGAGAGAATAACTGAACAAGATGTCCATTAATTAGCATACCTGCAAGAACCCTCCTGCTCTATTGAAACTCCGCCCCCCAAAGTGTTTGGTTCTAGTAAGATGTTTTCATAACTTTGCTCCCATGTGCTCTACTATGTCCATTTGCAACACCCATTAGGATATTTTACAAATATCCTCTGTCAAACTGATATACATATTTACAGGTATGATTCTAATCACCTTCCCACATCTGCTCGCTTGCATGACTATCTACATTATCTGCGTGTAGATCATTGTCATTATTGTTATTGCAGGATTGTGTAGGTGACAGCATTTACCTTTGGTACCTGTGTTGACCTCTTAAAACTCAATAAGAAATTATCACTGTGAACTCTTTATCTATCCTTTCAGGCAACTTGGCTTTTCAGCTATCAGCTTTTCAGGCAACTTGGATGGTTGTCAGTCAAGGAGAGAGAAACATTTCATGCAAATGCCTAAGAGATCTGGCTGTAACGAGACTGCTTGTGATCTAGGGCCACGCCGGGGAGTCCTGCGGGACAGTGGTTGCACCCTGGGCTGAGATCCGAAAGGTCAGCGGTTTGCAGCCACCAGCCACTCCGAGGGAGAAGAACGGGGCTCTTTATTCCAAAAGCAGTTACAGTCTCAGAAGCTCACCGGGCAGTTCTACCTTGTCCTATAGGGTCGCTGTGAGCCTGCATTGACTCAGTGGCAGTGAGTTTGGTTTTTGAGGTTTGGAGGGTCTTATTAAAAAAGTTACGGATCTCAAATTGATGATCTCATTCTCAACACAGTCTAGAGCAAGGGAAATACACTTTTCTTTTAAGCAGCTATGTGCCCTCTGAAAATGAAGAGCAGCAACAACACACACGTCCACACACATTCACAAATATTTCCAGGCTTGGTCGGTATACCATACCAACATAATTGTGTGTATGGGGGGTGGGAGGCAGTTACATAATCTGTCAACTTGAGAGAAGGAGTGGAGTCTAGCCTGTCAATCAGGTCATAGCCAATGACACCTCTGTGTGGGCATGGCCTTCTGCTGAGGATTCTGGGAATCCCTGTCTTCCTCCTGGGAGGCAGGATACACACTCTCCCTGCGAGACATTCCTGCTGACAAGCCACATGGAGCTACGCTGATGGAGCCAAAGCCCTGGGAGCTGGAGGAGCTACGTGGAGACGCACGTCAGCGCTGAGATGCTTCCACCACCACTGGATCCACAAGACTTTCCTCCCAGTGGCCTGTGATCTTCCCGCATTTGGTGTCATTGCATGTGTTGCATGAGTCTGAAGAGGAATTTATAGTCTGGTATCGGACACATGGGCTAATATCGGATGTATGGACTTGATCTGGATTGGGCTGGGATGTTTTCTCAATATACAATTGCTCTTGTATATAAAATTCTTTCTAGCACACATATGAGTGTCTCTGGATTTGTTTCTCTAGTCAACCCAGCCTAACACAGTGTGTGTGATGGTGTCGTTTCTCCATTTAGTAGTTAGTGCATATTCTTACTACCAAACCCACAGATGACCATATGTTTGTGAGAGAGAGAAAAAGGCCAACTCTAGACTTAATTTACGTGACAACTCGTTCTTATATCAACCAGAAAAGGGCCCTCACATTGTGTGTGCATGGCTCTCCAGCAGATTCCAGGAATACTGGGAGAATTTTCCAGGGGGTTTACTTTCTCCTCTTTCCCTTATTTCTTTCCTTTCACAATAAAACCAGCACTTGCAGCCTCCACACACACAGGAGCCCAGAAGGTTTCTCCAGGAAACAAGAAAGCCAGGAGACGTGGGCGAGTGTGGGCTGAGAAGTGGCCTGGCACATTCTCTCAGAACCAGGGAGACGGTGGCTGACTACCGAAGTTGTTCGCATGACGTGCCCTCTAACTGTCCTTGGGCATTTTCCTTTTGGTGCTGATGTCTAGCAGAATCGCACGGTGATTTTCTCTTAATACTTAATTTTCACAGATTCTAGAATTTCAAGGATAGACAAGCCCTTTGGAAGTGACCTCGTTCAACTGTGGCGATCTCATGCACCCTCTCTAAACATCCAGTGGCCTTCAGCCTGGATTTGAACACCTGCTGATGGGGAACCCATTACCTGACCCCGTCTTTGAAGAGCGCTGCTGGTGGTGATTACATCCCCACCCGCTCACCAACATTGGGTCCCAAAGATGGTCATCCTGTGAAAATCAGTATTATTGGAAAATGGAGGATGGCCACATCACTACATTATCATTATATCACGTGCCTCCCCCCTCCCATACCCTCCTTTATGGCTTCTATGTCTTACATCAAATTTAGAAACGTCTTCTCTGAGATGATAAAATAATTCTCTCAGGATTCCTCCTGCTACTTTTGTGGTTTTGCATTTTTGTGGGGAGACTTTTGATACCTGCTCTCCCTTCCTAAAGCACATGGTTCAAAATGGAATGTCATTCTCCAGCACGGAGACAGAGCACACTTCTCTCAGTCTCGATACGTTTATTCAGCCTTAGGTAGCTCTAGACATTGGGCTAATCATGAACCTCACTCTCACTCCCTCATTCACTGCCATCGAGTCAAGGCTGACCCATAGCAACCTTATAGGACAGGGTAGAACTGCCTCTGTGAGTTTCCCAAAACTACAACTCTTCAGAAGAATAGAAAACCCCATCTTTCTCCAGATGAGTGGTGGGAGGTTTCGAACCGCTGACCTTGCAGTTAGCAGCCAAATGCACAACCTCTATGCCACCAGGGCTCCGATCGTGAACTTACTGTTAATTAAAACCGACACGTTTTTTCCACAGGTGCTGCGGTGAAGCTCTCTGGTCCCCGTTCTGTATTGATGCACGCCTTTTATATTTATAGGGAAACGGAGGGAAGGGATTTGTTTTTCCAAAAACACTTCCAAAACCAGTTGCTTTGAAATGAAATCAAACAGCAGAGAGCTCCGCTCAGATCACTTACTCTTGCACCGCCTCCCGTCCTCAGCCAGGATAAATCCCTGTGAGCATTTGCAGATGTACGAGTTCCCGCTATTAAGACAAGTGTGCTCGCAGCCATGGTGCGTCGATTTGCAGGCATCCTTCCCTGAGGAAAACATAGGGAAGTGAACAATCCCTTCAGTGTGGAAATGAGGGGGGCCGACGACTCAGGATGGGCCATGATAAGGGAAACCCCCTCCCAGACAGTGTCAAATTCCCACAAGCCTGCATGGAAGGATGGTGATAGGGTGTCCTGGATTTATTATTATTATTTTAGGACGGTCAGATGTGTTTGGCGTTTTGATTTTCCTGATCTCTTTTCCATAGCCATCCCCAATACTCCAGTTTATGGTCTAATGATATATATATTTTTTTTCATGTGGGAGGCACTTAAAACTCTCCAAAATCGCTACAGCCCCTTAATGCTCACAGCATCCTGTGAGGGGAGGAAGGCAGGGGTAATTCATCCCAATTTCTAAATGAAGAAACAGACCCTCAAGCCCTCTCTCTGAAAAGACCCAGATCAAAAAACCATATCAGTGTGAATGAGGGGGAGTGCAGAGTAGAGACCCAAAGCCCATCTGTAGACAATTGGACATCCCCTAACAGAAGGGTCACAAGGAAGAGACCAGCCAGTCAGGGTGCAGTATATCACCGATGAAACATACAGCTTTCCTCTAGTTCTTTAATGCTCTGCACCCTCGCTAACTATCATGACCCGGCTAGACCAGAGCATGTACATGGGTACAGATAAGAGCTCGCAAAACAGGGAATCCAGGACAGATAAACCCCTCAGGACCAATAAGGAGAGTAGCAATACCAGGAGGGGAAGGGGTAGGTGGGGGAGAAAAGGAGAACTGATCACAACGATCTACACATAGCCCCCTCCCCGGGGGACAGACAACAGAAAATTGGGTGAAGGGAGACATCAGTCGTGTAAGACATGGAAAAAAAAGAGAAGAAACAGACCCTCAAGAACTGAGTTGGCCAAGGTCAACTAGTGATGACACGCCGCTGAGACACAATGTCCCTAGAGAACCAGTGTTCTTCCGGCCGCCATACTGTGCAAAGACCCAGGTTCTTTCTGGCCATTTGCTCTCTAAAAGGAGCCACCCAACACCCCAACCAAGCCTGCCATCCGGTTCATGCCGACTCAAAGGACCCTAGTAGAATGGCTTCGTGGGGTTTCGAGACTGTGGATCTTTCTGGGGACAGACAGCTTCTCCCTCTAAAGCAGCGGTTCTCCCTCCACCTGTGGGTCGTGACCCCTTTGGGGCTCAAAGGACTCTTTCACAGGGGTCGCCTAAGACCATTGGAAAACACATAAATATTTCACAATATATAATTACTTATTGTTCTGTGATTAATTACTATGTTTTAATTATGTTTAATTACGTTCAATTTGTAACAATGAAACTACAGCCTGCATATCAATTCATAACAGTAGCAAAATGACAGTGATGAAGTAGCAACGAAAATAACTTTATGGTTGGGGGTCACCACAACATGAGGAACTGTATGAAAGGGTCGCAGCATGAGGAAGGTTGAGAACCACTGCTCTATAGGGAGAAGCTTCCTACAATGCTGGAGCAATGACAACAGATTCTTCTAGAAAGTGAGCATGCTGCAATCTGAGTGAGTTATCAAACTCCAGAGACTGAAGTCGTGCCTCGTGTACAAGAGCTCAAGTCACCCAGCAATAAATGGTGGGTGTGTACAGCACACAGCAATTGCTCAGCTGGACAGAAATGGGCCGAATGGCAGACGTGGTCTCCACAGAAGGGACACCCCGGGGTGAAGTAAAAACTGAAGTAAAAATTTTGTTCTAATAATATTCTATTGTGTGTTCAGTGAAAGTTCACTCAGCAAGGTAGGGCCTCATTTGACAAACTGCCTGTTGAAAAGGGAGAGCTGGGCAGGAAGTGGGTCAGTGTCAGACCAGGGTGCCACGGTGTCAGCTACCCAAACCGAACTCCTCATCTGAACAGAGGAAGTAGGACCATGAGCATCATCCAGCACAGCTTCGTTGACAAGCAGAGTGCCCTGTTCTCTCTCTCAAAGGAGTCTGTGAGGAAATGCTGCAAAACCAATCTCAAGTGCAAAGATTCACTTTGCCTTAATTAAAAAAAGGGCCACTTTTACCTGATGGGCAGTGTGGTTGTTATACAACTTCATGTCCACTTGATGAAGAATGAAGGGGTGGAGTCATTCAGGTCACAGCCTAAAGATGCCTCCTTGTGGGCATAGCCTTATCATGAGGATTCTGGGAACTCTCTCTCTCTTGCTTCTCCCACCAGAAGAGGCAGGCCACGCTCTCTCTTTCTGCTACACCTTCCTGTGGACAAGCCACATGGAGCCACGCTGCTGGCAGCCAGAGCCCTGGAGATGCTGCCACAACCACTGGATCCACAAGACTTCCCACCCACTGGCCTGTGATCTTCCTGCACTCAGTGTCATTGTGATGGGCAATGTGAGTTTTAAGAGGAATTGAATGTAATTATGGACCAGTATCAGGTCTATGGGCTAATATAGGACTTATGGACTTAATCTGGATTGGGCTGGAATGTTGTTTTTTTTAAGATAAAATTACTCTTTCATCTAAAGCTCTCTCTTACACACAGATTTGTTTCTCTAGTCAACCCCAGACTAACACAGGCAGCATGTCCTGAAGGCGAGAAGATGGTGGGGATGAATTGCTCGGAACCTTATGAAGGGTTTTTCTGCCCTACACTGTGTTCTAGTATCCACCTCACTGAACCTGTGTGTCCACACCGGTCCCTTCCTCTGAGTACCACAGCGCAATTATAAAGAAACAACTGTCTTCCCTGAGCTGACCTCCAACTCAATTCTTGGAGTCTATTCTGAGTAACCTACAGAAGCATAGGATGAATGGGTCAATTAAACCCTACAGAGAAGTCACCTCCACCCCTCTCACCTCCTCTATCCTTACTACTCAGGAAGGTTTGCAAAAAAAAGAGAAAGAAAAAGGCATTGTTATTATCTTTCTTCAGACCTTATAGCGGCTGGCAGTTTCTAACTGGATCCAGGGACAAGTCAGACACTGTGTGATGCACAGAGATCCACACATCCAGTGGGAAAGGACCCACCTTGCCCCCTAACCCCACCCCCAAATCTTATATAGTTGTTGTCCAGTTGATCCGACTCTCCATCGGGTTTTCAATGGCTGTGACCTTTTGCATGCAGACCTGAGACACCATTGTCCTGAGACTTCTTTTTCCTGAGATGGCTACTAGGTGGCCTCGAACCAGTGACCCTATGGTTAGTTGCATGTGACTATTCCTGTCCCTCCTCTGCTGAGAGAAAAGGAAAAGAAGCAACACGCCTGACACCCCAAGACCTCAACCGAGAGATCCCAACAGAACCAGGAGCTGGCTGCTCTCATCCCTGGCAAAATAGTTGCAGAGCACCGAGGTCGGCCCTTCTCTGCGACAGCCACAAAGGAAGATGTTCACGATCAAAACAGGTTTCTGTAACCACTCGGGGCCCCACAGATGGGAAGTTTTTCTCCACCCCTGGTGACTCACGTCGGCAGCGTTTTCCGTCTTCGCTGAGCCGGAATCCCTCGAAGCACTTGCAGATGTAGGAGTCACCGCTGTTCACGCAAGTGTGCTCACAGCCATGGTCGACCGCCTGGCAGACGTCTTTCCCTGGGGAGAGCAGAGCCAGTGAAACTGTTTACCAACATACACTTCACAGGGGCTTCAATTGGGAGGGTCTGGCCATCCCGGCCACTGGACGCTGTGCCACGTGGGGGTAGTGACTTATGGGGCGGAAAGTTAGATCGAGGCTGACGTGGCTCTCATTTACGCGCTCTCTTCAAACTCTCCTCCCTCTCAGGATCATCATTCACCACCCCCTGCTTCAGGGTCTTAGGAAAACAGCATCCATCAACAGCCTTCTGCATCCGGAGCCTCTGATTTCGAAACAGAAAGACTTTTGGGATGATAGTTTAGGAAATTAAACATCAATTTAGATTAGTGGAACTGAAACCTAATTTTGGCGTTATCCCTGACATAATAGATGATTTAGGAGAATTGCTTAATCTCTTGGATTCTTAGCCTTCCTGTTTAAAAAATGAGAACAGTAACTCCAGTTACCCATCTTCTCTTCAAATTGTGTCAACAGGAGCTGCTCTTGGCAAAGACCTTGGAGACACTTGAGGAAGAGGGGCCGATGGAGGTGGAACTCACTTGCTTGGGGCAGGGGAGGGGGCCACTGCCCTTTGGTTCCTACTGAGATGTGTTTGGAGTTTTGCACCAGCTTGGTACTCAAAGGCTGCTTATGGAAGGCAGGCTGGTCTTGGTTCCATCTAAGAGGCTTGCTTTATGCAAAATAGGCTTTATGTAAAAACAGCCTCACGACCAGGTGATCTCCCTGAGGGAGTTGTGCCACTGGAAGTTCCATTGCCACCACACGGCTATTAAAGAGTAACAGAGGCTCAGGGAAGGGAAGGCACTCGCCCAGCAAGTAGGTGACACAGGCGGGGTCTGACTTCGTGGATGGCTGATGGCACATCGCTCTGCCGGAGCAGACTACCAAACCTCCATTTCTTGCTAGAGAGTGTGAATCACACACTTTAGTTGTGGCTCTCATATTCACTTTTCTTGGTTTTTGTTTGCTTAGCTCTCCTTTATTTTTAAAAAATAAGATTTTATTTACTCTAACAGTTTAGGTTTATAGAAAAATTAGGAAAATAGTAGAGTTTCCATATCCCACAATTTTTACTGTTATTAATATTTTCATACACATGAAACATTTGTTATAATTAAGGAACAGGTACTGATACATGATCAATAACTAAACAAATAAAAACCCCAGAGCCATGATCATGGGGTGGATTTGGACTCCGAGTGACCTGGGTCGGGTTTCTGAGGCTATAACTCTTTCCGGGAGCAGACAGCGTCATCTTGCTCCTGGGGATCGGAAGCCTGCCTGGCCATCAGCAATCCAACGTTGACCAGACTGCACCAGCTGGCAATGAAATCCACAGCCATCGAGTTGATTCTGACTGGTAACAACGCTAGCTACATAGGATTTCCAAAGCTGTACATCTTTATAGGGGTGGACAGCAGGATAGAGAAATTTAAGAGTTTCAAAAACCCTCTGTTGAGTCACTATGAATCAATTAACTTGTTAGGTTTGGTGTTGTTTTTCTTTGAAAGGAGGCCTGGTGGCGCAGTGGTTAAGCGCTCAGTTGCTAATGGGAGTGCTTTGAAACCGCCAGCCTTCCCATGGGAGAGGAACATGGAAACCCGCTCCAGTCAATATTACAGCCTATCCATTGGCTGCGCAATGCTTCCCCAACAGAGTCACCACGGCTTATTGAGATTTCCTTCCGCTTTAATCTAATGTCCATTAGTTTGTTTGTTTCAAGAACCCACTCAGGATCACAAAGAGCATGGGGGCATTGGGGGTTGGGGGTTGAGCGGTTGGCCACAAGGTAGCTTGTTCAAGCCCACTAGTTGCTTCTCAAGAGAAAGATGAGGCTGTCTACTCCCATACACATCTACAGTCTCAGAAACCTTATAGGGAAGGGGTGGGCCCAGACTGCATACCCAAACCAAAGCCAAACTCACTGCCACGGAACCGATTCTGACTCATGGCAACCCTGTAGGGCAGGGTAGGACTGCCCCGTGGGTTTCCGGGAGTAGAAAGCCTCTTCCTTGTCTTGAGGAGCTGCTGGTAGTTTCCAACGGCAGATCTTGAGGGCAGCAGTCCAATGCGTAACCACTACGCTCCCAGGGTTCCTGCCATCACAGTAGGGACCAGTTAACTAAACGTGTAGGTGCCCTGGTGGGGTAATGGTTACACACTGGGGTGTGATCCGAATGGTCGGCAGTTCAAAACCACCAGCAGCTCCATGGGAAAAAGGCTGTGCTTTCTACTCCTGTAAACAGCTACAGTGTCGGAAACCCACAAGGAGGTCGTGATGAGTCGGCACAGACTCGATGGCTCTGAGTCTTTTTGTTAATTAAATGTTTGACCAAATGTAGCAGACTAAAGTTGAAGTCGGTGGTGTTGCATGGTCCACAAATGATGTTATAAATATCCAAATGGCTCTTGGCAGAAAAATGGTTCCCCACCCCTGCTAGATAGCGTCACCATGAGTCAGAACCGACCTGATAGATTTTGCTTGTTGGTGTTTCTTTGAGAGGAGCCCTCCTCCTTAGAGAGGAGGCTATGCTCCACTAATACTGCAGCCTTGGAAACACCCTCCCCTACCACCCCCGGAGCAATTCTGCAAGTCTCAATTGGCCAGAGGGCTACTCAGGAATGTGTGCCAGAGCCAGTAAACACCTGCCTGTGTGGGGAGGGGGTGGGGGTGGGGGTAGGGTTGTTGCCGATGCAGTTAAAATTGAGCACCCAATCATTTGATCTTCCTTATGATCCACTTAAATTTGTTCTGCTTTTTAATATCTCCTGCTTTCTTTTCTATTGAGGGTGTTGCCTGTTTTACTTTGCTATTCTTGTTAGTTTTGTTGTTGTTATTGTTGCTTGTTTGTTTAAAATGTTTTTCTGGGCATGAAAGCCAGGCTAGTTGCTCTGTAGAGACAGTAACTGGATGAATGGTTCCTTGTGAGTAGGGCAGGGGAGGTTGGGAGCTGATAACGAAGAGTACAAGAAGGAAGAAAACGTTCTAAATCGGACTATGGTGGTGATGACTGTCCCACTCTTCTGGATGTGATCCAACGATTGGCTGTATGCTAAGTGAATCACGTGCCACTCAAACGGTGGGGGTGGGGGAGCACTTACTTCTGCAGGTTTTCCCGTCCTCTCTGAGGACGTAGCCTTCAAAGCACCGGCACGTGAACGAGTCCCCACTGCTTACGCAGGAGTGCTCACAGCCATGGGCCCCCGAAGCACAAGCGTCTAATTCTGGAGAAAGAAAAAGATGCAGATGTCAGCGATTAGCAACAATCTTCCACAACAATTCAGACACCTCAAGCTAAAACAGGACCTTATTCCATAATGCACCTTTCAGAATAGAAAGCAAGTCCATGAGAAAGATTAGACAGGTACAAATGGAAACGATATAGCCAGCCCCCCAGGGAAAAAGTTTACAAAAGACATAGGCAGTCTAAAAGGGAGAACTAGAACTACACAGCCTGTTAGAAAAAACATTCAACATCAATGATTTCAGTTAACTAGAATATCAACTGATCTGCTCATCAGTTTTGTCTGTGTGCGTGCGTGCGCGTGTGTGTGTGTGTGTGTGTGTGTGTGTGTGTTTATACTTAGGCAATCCATTCATTCATTCTCATTTCTTAAGGCAACAATTATTTACTGAGTCCCTAACTAGGGCCCTAGCGAGTGCTGGCGGCATCGTGGTTACCCTTCGGGCTGCTAACCTCAAGGTTAGCGATTCAAAACCACCAGCCACTCCTGCTGGGGAAAGACAGGGTTTTCTACTCCAGTAAAGAGTTACAGTTTTGGAAATTCACAAGGAGAGTTCTACCTTGTCCTATAGGGTCTCTATGAATGGAAAGAATCTGCATCCACTCGATGGTAGTGAGTCTGGTGTTTTAACTAGAGGGCTGAGGACACAAGTTTTGCTTTTGTGACGCTCACATCTCTGGGAGGGGGTTGAATGAGGGGAAGACAAAGCAGCGTGAAACATCAGGTGGGGAAACAAAGGCCCATAAAGAGGTACAGAGGTCCGGAGGGAGGGCTTATTATTCCCATTGTCCAGCCAGATACATCGGCGGCGGAAGACACTGAGGGAGGGAGTGTGTGGTGTCTGGGAGGTGCACATTACCAGTGGAACAGAACCAAAGAGCTGAAAGCAAATCCATTGCCCAGGAAGCAAATCTGACCCATGGCCACCCCATGTGAGACCGAGGAGAACCGAGTTCCATAGGGTTTTCTTCGCTTTAATCTTTATGGAAGCGGATCGCCAGCCCTTTCTTCCACGGCTCCTCGGGTTACAACCACCAACCTTTCAGGTTAGTAGGTGAGTGTGAGCAATTTGTGTCACTCCAGGCACCTCAAGGAGCAGCGTTTGCTAACTTCAGAAGTAGGAGTCTACTTACTCAGCATGTGTCAAGAAAAGCAAGCAGATCGTATAGCTCAGTGGTTCTCAATCTGTGGGTCACGGCCCCTGGGGGGTTGTCGAACGACCCTTTCACAGGGGTCGCCTGATTCATAACAGTAGCAAAATTACAGTTATGAAGTAGCAATGAAAATAATTTTATGGTTGGGGGTCACCACAAGATGAGCAACTGTATTAGAGGGTCGCGGCATTAGGAAGGTTGAGAACCACTAGTATTGCTGGAGCAACTAAGAGAAGAGGGCAGGGAGGTCAGCAGGGCCAGACTATGAAGGGATTCCAGGCAGGGGCCACTCTGCATGGGAAGGGACACCACCAGAGGGTCCTGAGGAGCAGAATGATCGGATCAGAATTAGTTGAAAAGATTTGCCCTGTACTGACTGACAGTGCAAAGTTGTATGAAGCCTACTGCAGGAACTCTGCAGGCTCAGACCAGTGGGGTGGGAAGGGGTCAGACTACGACTGTGCTTTGAAGGTTGCTGCTTGTCAGGCCCCAGACTCACAGAGACCCGGTGGGTGGAGCAGAACTGCCCTGTAGGGACTCCTAGGTGATCCTCCTCCTCACCAGCTCTCTCTCCCCAGAAGCTGCTGGTTAACTAACTGTTAGGCCAACCCAGGCCTCCCGGGTTATGATTCCATTTTGAAGTGAGAGCCGATAAATAAGATCTGCGAATAGACTAATGTTTGGTCAAGCAGAGGGGCAGAGAAAAAGAGGAAGCCCCTCAACAAGATGGCTTGTCATGGGGGCTGCCACAATGGGCTCAGACAGAAAGACACACAGCACAGGACCAGGCGGTGCTCCATTCTGTTGCATGGGGTAGAGATGCGTTGGTACAGACTCAGGCGCACCTAACGACAAACAAGGGTACATTGGATATAGGATGGCAGAAGGGTCGTGGGTGGCCCAGAGGCTGTCAGGCTGAGCAACTAGAACAGCACCATCTTTGACAGCATTACTGTGGCCTCTGTGGGGACAGATGGTTCACAGACCTGCAAAAGCCAAGTGGACAACTAGGCAGTGAACTTTCCTAAGAATCCTACACAAAGAATCTGAGAAGGTGGATTATATGAAGAAGAATTTAGCATGCCAATGGAAGACTTATTAACAACCTTGCTTGCTGAATGCAAAGAGGACTTGAAGCACTTGCTGATGAAGATCAAGGATTCCAACCCAATGTGAGGAAGACCACAATTCCCACAACTGGACCAATTGGTAATATAATAGATGGGGGAAATCTTTTGAATTTGTCAAGGAGTCAAGAGATCACACAACACATTGCATTGGGTAAAGCTGATGCACCAGACCCCTTTAGAGTGTTGAAAAGCAAGGATGTTACCTTGAGGACTAAGGTATACCTGGCCCAAGTCAAGATATTTTTAAGTGTCTCCTCTTCATGTGAAAGTCAGCCATGGAAGACCAAAGAAGAATGGACACATTTGAATCAGGGTGCTAGAGAAGCAGAGCATTGAGAGTACCATGGACTGCTAAAAAGGGCAAACCAACCCTGTCTTGGGAGAAGTACAGCCAGAGTGCTCCTGGGAGGCAAAGATGCTGAGACTTTGTCTTACCTACTTTGGACATGCTGTCAGGAGAGACCAGTCCCTGGGGAGGGCATCATGTTTGGTAAAGGAGAGGGGCAGTGAAACAGAGGAAGGTCCTCATGAGGTGGACTGGCACGGAGGCTGCAACAACGGTATGTTAGTCTGGGTAAACTAGAGAAACAACCCCACTGAAACTCATATGTATATAAGAGAGTTTTATATAAAGAGTAAGTGTACATTCAGAAAGCATCCCCAACCCAGTGCTGTCCAAGCCCATAAGTCCAACATTAGTCCATATGTTCAACACTGATCCACAAAGTCCTCCTAAATCTGCAGAAGGAAAGCCAAATCAGTGAGTGTGTAAGCTTCTCAATGCTGGCAGGGGTCTCCACAGGGATGGTCCAGCACTCAGGGCTGCATCGGGGTAGGTCCATGTGGCTTCTCCTCAGGGATGTCTCCCAGGAAGTGAGCTTTGCCAACTGAAGTAGGGAACTGCCTAAGGCAGCCGCACCCTGGTCTGACCATCAGAGAGCAAGAGACCGAGAACCAGAAAGCCGAGGCTCACTGAGCCATTTACTCCTCCTCCCTTCAGTTAACCCCACATGTGTTTATCGGCCAGGTTAGCACAATGAACCTTAACTTTCTCAAACGGGCTGAGGCCCAGGAACAGCTGTGAGGATGGCGCAGGACTGCACAGTGTCTCCTGTTGAGCACAGGGGCGCTGTGGGCCAGAACTGACTCAGTGGTACCCAGCAACACACAACAACAACACATTTTGGAGCGATCACCCCATCATTTGAGGCTGAGTAGAACTCCTACGATGATGTCTGTGCACTGAAGTTACTAGACAAACTCACAGTCATTTTTCTTGAGGCTCGCAGCTCAACACGCCACCATGATGCCACCAGGGCTCCTCGTAACACAATCATTTTCATCATCAGGCACAAATCTGTTTCCAGTTTGCTGAACTTTTTCCCCTGAAAGTATCTTGGCATCATCATCATCATTTTTAAATTTTTAATTTTTTCAGAAGCGTCTTCAGAACCACCCGGGGGCTTAGTTAGGGCAGTGCTGGTTGGAGTCTGTCATTAACAGCTAGGGAAACGAAGCTTTGGGACAGATGACGACTTGCCAAGACCAACTGCTAATATGGGAGGGAACCAAACTGGCAATGCTATGATTCGACAATAAATTCCAAGTTAAAAAAAATTTTTTTTTCAATTATGCTGCATTGCTATAATATTCTAAAGTACGCTTTCAAACTCAAAGGACATTTTGCCTCTCAGCCTTTGGGCTTAAACACTGCCCAAACCTTTGAAAAACAGGAAAGTGCTGTGCTCACTGAAATTAGAACTGCATCCAGGAAAGTCAGCGCTGTCTGAGCCTCCAGCCTGCTGAGCAGTGCCTACTTCTCCAGACACACCCTAGACGCATTAATGCAGAACGGTTCCTCGCGGCTTCAGGTAGCCCTCCAGGAAGTGTGAGAGTGGAAAGTACAACGGAACGATTCTTGATCCTGATGGCTGGCTGAGGAGGTGGGTGCTTCCCCTCACCGTGAATGAACAACAAGAATACCCCACTCTCCAAGACAATTCAATAGCGAGAACTCTTTCTGGCTGCCCTAGTCAACCCAGGATCCTGATCAGCCTCTCGGAACACACTGCCTCCCTGCCTGGAGTCTCCACAGGCTCTGTCCTCAGGAATTCACCTCTGAAGAGTGATTGAAAGTAGTCTCCCGGACACAGACTCCACTGGGCCCCTGACACCCTGGCATGCCAGCCATTGAGCGCTGAGCCTGCATCTGGCTGATGGCTACTCCTTTCCTTCGGCTCAAGCCACGTCTCCAGCCTTGTCTGTAGCCGTCCTGGAAGCGGCCAGCCCAGGTTCTGACTTCTCGTAAGCTGGCAAAGGAGTATCGCTTTGGAATTTGTATTATGCGCATGCTTTAAAAGCAAATGGAGAGTTTTGACTTTTAATCTTTACCCTTAGGATCCGTCAGAGGATCTGATTCAGAGAGACGGGGCGCCCTGGTGGCACTGTCAGGCAAGCGTTGACTGCTCACCACAGAGCTGGCGGTCAGCCCACCAGCCCTGCCAAGAAGAAGGATGAGGCCGTCCTGTTCTCACAAAGATTTACAAGCTCCGAAACCAGCCCACTCGCCGATGTCGCTGGATAGAACAGTGCCGGGCTCTTGACCTCAGCATTAGAATGGCCGGCAGAGTTTGTTTATTTAAGGCAAAGCAAGCACATGACACCACGTTCAAACAAACGGAACCAGCATCCTTTC